CGCGGCGCACGCGTGTGCGGCTCGGGCAGCGCCTCGCTCACAGCGGCCGAGCCTCTCGCGTTCTGGCCGCTTCGCTCCCGCGTCGCCGATCCCGGCCCGGACGATCCCCGGCACCATGCGGAGGGTGAGTGAACCGCCTCCCCGAGGCTCGAGTGTGGCCGCGAGAGTGTGAGCACGTCTCCCTCGCCTCGCCCGGGGCCGACACCCCGCGAGGGACCATCCTCCCGCGAGGAGCCTCCGAGGGGAAGCCGCGGACACCGCGCCGCCGGGAGGGCTGAGGGCGAGGCGGGGGCCGGCGGGGTCGCGGGGAGGCCGGGGCAGGCGGCTGGGCGGGCTCTATGGGGGGAGTGGCCCTCGGCGCGGCGGGAGAAGGGGCGCTGCGAGGGCTGCGGGTCCCCGGCCGCGCGCTCCCCGCCCCCCCGAGAGCGAGGTGGGCTGATCCCGGCGCCCCCGGCACTGCCGGTTCGTGGAGCCTCCTGCCGGGCGCCCGTGGCGCTTCCTGGGCCGGCGTCGCGGCCTCGGTGTCGGGCTGCGCAGCACCTTGCACTTTCCTCGGGAGCCTCTTAAACTTTGCCGGGCGTCGATTGGGCCGCGTCGTCTGCGGGGGTGGCTCGTCGCGCGTCCCGGCGGGAAGGGACCGTCCCCAGGGCTGGCTCGGGCGGCTTTCGGGGGCGCCCCGCGGGGTGGCAGGCCGGGGAGGGTGGCGCTCACTCCCGGAGCCCGGAAAGACCCGGCTTTCCCGCCTTTGGGAGGCGGGAGCGATGGGGACACCCCGTAGCGTCTAGGCTTCCAGCTTTCGGCTCCTGGAGGGGTGCCTCAGGAGTGAGGCCACCTTACTCGCGGTTGTGAGGACCCTCTGTCTACCCAGAGCTTTGTGGTTACCGCCTCACCTCCTGCCCCTCCATCCAGGGCTCTCAGTGGAAACCTCCAAATCAGAAGGCTTTCAATGCAGGACTTAACTCCACTTCAAGGACAGACAGCCTGTGAGGTTAGAGCAGCATAGTTTCAGCCCAGACAGCATGCTGGTCCCAGACAGCTTCCGCTTCTCTGTCTTTGGGGAGACCCCAGGGGCCTAATTGACGTAGTAATGTGGGTGACTTAGTAAGTTTCAATCCTTCATTTGCCATGTAGATGTATGCAGGCTGCTTTAATCACATGCAGGATTTTTGCTCTGATAGCATAGAAGGAAGGTAGAGATAAATGTCAGGTCATAGGGCTTGGTACACTCCACATTTTCCCAGATCCTTTAAGGCCAAGCCTGGCAAGGAGCTAAGAAATGGGTGGATGGGGATTTTCTGAAAAGATTAAGCTGAGAAGTGGAAAAACAGATTAAAGTTTGTGTCTTTCTCAGGGTTGGAGTTTGGAGTTGCTTTGAAAGATATACTTGCACCTATCTCCCCCCCCCACTTTGAGTGGCTCCATGAAAGATTTCGCTTCTCCACTGCTGGTTGCTTCAAAGGGACTTCCGAACCCTATTTCCTCATAGGTGATAATCTGAAACTTTATAAAGAGAGAGAGTGTGTGTGTGTGTGTGTGTGTGGATGGTGTTTTTATTTCTTTATTTTTGAAGCATAGGAAGGTGGAGTATAGAGAAAGCTGGGGTGTGTTAGCCCCAGCTGCCTCTGGACAACCTGTTATTGGCTGGCATGGAAATTTACCTGGCTTGCCTTTGGCCCTGGTCCAAACCAGCTCAGGTGTTTGAGGATTCCTGCTTGGCTGGCCAGCTAGTTTGCATGCCTGGTGTTGGTGGAAGAGCCGAAATAGAAACAGACCCTGATAAGGTTATTTGTTTGAACTCAGCAAGTAACTAAATTCAGAAACCAACCTCAGTTTACTTTGTAATGCCACCAGGCTAGTTATGGAAAGCAGCTAGGAAAGGACCTGTAAACCTATGTGGGATGTATTAAAAGGCAAATCAAGATTTAAAAATTAAAGTTGGGATTTGGTGGGTGTTGATCAGAATCTTTAAAAATGTGTCTTGCATGTTTAGGGAGGAACAGTCTGGTGGTGGTTATATTTGCTGATCCTTGGCCTCTACATCAGACTTACTGACTCTGAGACGGGAGCTCAGCAACTGTAGGGAGCTCTGGTGGCCTAATGGCAGGAAGCAGTGCAGCAGTCTTGAAGGCACACAGTTAAAATCCAACAGCTGCTCTGTGGGAGAAGAGTGGTCAGTTTCCTCCTGTGCCTCTGAAAACTGGCCGGAGGGTCAGCTGAAAACCAGCTGGAAGGTCAGCTGTGGGTAGGTTCTGACTCGAAAGTACACAGCTGCAACAATTACTACTAGGAGGAAGCTCTGGTAGTCTAGTGGTAAGACGCTGTTTTGCAGTCGCAAAGGCACTTGGTTGGAATCCACCAGCTGCTCCAGAGGAGAAAGATGGGCAGTCTCCTCCTGTGCAGTTAACTGCTTTTGAAAACCTGCTGGATGGTCAACTATGGGTTGGTCTTAACTCTACGACACACAACAACAACTTCAACTACCACCACTAGGAGGGAGCTCTGGTATCCTAGTGGTAAGGAGCTCTGCTGCCATCCCAGTGGCACACAGTTTGAATCTAACAGCTGCTCTGTGGGAGAGAGATGAGCTTTCTTTTCCCGTGTGATCAAATTGCCTCTGAAAACCAGCTGAAGTATCAGCTTTGAGTTGGTTCTGACTCGATGTACACAACAGCAGCAACCACAACTAGGAAGTGCAACCAGGCAGCTCCTTAGAGACAAGGCTGATGAAACAGTATCCCACATTCTTGGGGCATGATGTCAGGAGGGGTCAGTACTGGGGGGTGTGAAAGCATACTGGGAAAGGTAGAAGGGTCATTGAGAGAGAGAGGAAGACCGTGTAATGAGATACAGTGACTGCAGTGATGAACTTGAGCATGGAGATCATGGAGTACATGGTGGAGGGCAGTGCAGGAGAAGGCAAGTTTTCAACTTTTGTTCTGAATGTTCACTGTGAGCTGCAGTCAGTTCAGTCGGATCTACCTACAACCCCACCACCCAAAATACCACCATAAAACATAATGCATTAAGCACCTACTTTGTGTAGCTGATGTTCTAAGCTCTAGAGTTACAATGAAAAGCAGGAGTCTGTTTTCTTAGAGGATACATTCTAGTTGAGAAGTTTGAATGAAGGAATTAAGAAATGTACAGATAAGATAATTTTCATTAGTGATTAATGCCAGGAAGAAAATATAGCAAAATAATGTAATGGGAAATGAGCTGGGATCAGAAGTCTTTTTGGTTTGGTGATTTGGAGTTGTCAGCTACCTGATGGGAAGACGTTGACTGTGTGAATGATGGGTCTAGAATTTTCCAAAGTGGCCTAGCAGATGCACAGGTCCTGAGACAGGAATGGACTTGGCCTCTGTGAGTAGCAGAAAGACAACATCAGGGCTGAACAGAATGGCTTACCCAGGGGTTGAGCAGAGTGGAATGGGGAGAGATAGGCAGGAGACAAGTCCTGCCAGACGTTGCTGGCCTTAGTGTGAAATTTAGATTTTAGGCCAAGTGCAGAGAGATCTTAATATAGGATGTGGAGTAGAAGAATACAGTAATGTTGTCTGGTGGATTACATTTTTGGGGATTACTTTGGCTTCTCTGTGTAGAATGGATTGTGGAATGTGGATGGTAGACAGAGAGTAGACCAAGGTGATCAACTTTGTTTTCTGGGAAAACAGACAAGGCGAGGAAGGGGATGTATTCTGGAGGTGTTGCTGTTGTGTACTATAGAGTTGGAACTGACCCACAGCTGAGCGACCCCCAGGTGAGTTTTCAGAGGTAGTTAAAGGCAGGATGGAAGAGAGTGCCCATCCTTCTCCTGCAGAGCCAGCTGGTGGTCTCTAACCATGTTCCTTCGGGATTGCAGCACAGCCTCTTGCCCCTTGGCCACCAGAGTTTGGGGCCAGTTGAACTTACTGACACATAGGAAGAAGAGAAAGATGGATTCCTTTTATATATGTTTTAGATTGCTAACTGTATGTGGGGGGAGGGAGGAAGAGGGAAGGGGAGACAGAGGGAGAAGGAGAGAAGGATGTTGAGGGGGAGAGAAAGAGTGCTTTGCCTGACTATTGGTTAGAATTATCAGTGATAACAAGGATGACATAGGATAGGACAGGGTTTGGATCTGTTGTTCATAGGGTCGCTGTAAGCTGTACTCAGGTCAAGAAAAAAACCCATCTGTGTAACTTCCTGGTTATATGATATCTGTGTAATATATTATCTCATTGAACCATTACAAAAGTTCTGTGTCATGGTAACTGCTGTCACCATCTTACAGTAGAGGTAGCAAAGTTTGAGTTTATTATTCAAGGTCATATTGCTAAGTGGAGTTGGAATTTATACTCAAGTTTGTCTAATTCTAAAAGTCTGGCTCTTGCTATTAGGCTCTGCTGCCTACATCTGCCAGCTCCTGACCCAGACCATTTTTAGTTCTGGAACATCAGATAATTCAGCATGTTGGTAGGTATATGTGGCAAGTATGCAACTCTCAGAGATCAGTGACTGCGGAAGGGAGGGCAGACATGGAATTAATGAAAAAAATGATAATGTTCATATGGTGTTAGTGAATAGAAGAGACGATGCATAGGGAATGTGCCTAGTAGGAGAACAGAAAATGTTCAGTAGGTGGGTTTCTCTGAAGAAAGGCTGGAATAGTGCATTTCTATCCTGCCCCTGGGCTTTAAACTTCATGTCCAAGGGCCTGCAAAACCGTATTATGGATCTTCTTTCAGCTATTCACATAGGCAATTAACATTAATTTTTAAATTTTTTTTGTCATTCAAAATGAGCTTTTTATTAAGCAGAGGCAAGAATTTTAGAGGTTGGTTAATTTAAGAAGTTTATGTTAGAATCAGAAATTGTGGAAAAATGTATGTATAGTGGTGGTGGTGGTGGTTATGGTTGTTGTTAGGTGCTGTCAGATACTCCTCATAATGACCTCATAGATAACAAACCTGAACCCTGTCCTGTCTGTACCATCCTAATAATTTACAACAAACATAAGTCCATTGTTACATTCACTGTGCCCGGCTGTCTTGTTGGGGTTCTCCTTTTTTGCTGATCCATCTTGGCAAGCATGATGTCCCTTTCTAAGGAATAGCCTTTCCTAGCAATATGTCCAAATTATGAGAAATGGAACTTGGTAATTTTGGGGTACTCTGAAAGCACTTTTTCCAAGACATACCTGTTTGTTCTTTTCACAGTCCATGGGATATTCAGTACTCTTCTCCAGCAACACAACTCAGAAGATAAAGTTCTTCCTTTGTCATACTTATTCATTTCTCAGATGCATATCAAGTAACTATAAAGACCATGACCTGAGACATACACACCTAGTCTTCAAGCTGACATCATTACTCTTAAGTATTTTGGAGAGGTCCCTGACAGTGAACTTGTCTAATACAATATGTCTTCTGATCTCCTGACTGTTGGTGCCAAGAGTGTTGATTGTTGACCCAAGCAAGGTGAAATAAGTAACATCTTTAGTCCTTTCTCCACCCATTATGATGGTGGCTGTTAGTCCCATGGTGAGAACCTTTGTTTTCTTGATGTTGCGATCTAATCCATACTAAAGGCTCTAGTTCTTGATTTTCTGAAGCAAGCACCTCAAGTCCTCCTCACTTTCAACAAGCAAGGTTCTGTTATCTGCAGAAAGCAAGTTATTGATAAGTCTTCCTCTGATTCTGAGGCCACTTTCCTTTTTATACAGTCTCTTCATGAATTATTTGCTCAGCATGTAGATTGAATAGATATGGAGAAAGGATACAACCCTGGTGCACACACCCTTTCTGATTTACACCATTGTGTGTTCCCTTACTCCCTTCAGACAACAGTTTCTTCCCCCACCCCCCCAGCTGCCCCAAACTCTAAAATTTATTAGTCCCTATAGTTACAAACACAGAAGAAATAA